ATAGGACTTTGAAAACATCACACTAACTATTTTTATATTAGGTGAATTAACCATCAAGTTAACTGCAATAGAAGAAACACAACAGATAGTCATCCATGGCCATGACCTGAATGTAACTTCATATAAGCTCCACAACAAATATGAAAAGCCAATCGGTATCAGCAAGTTCCTCGAGTATCCTGCCCACCAACAGGTAGTAATATGTTTCATGATTATGAATTTGGAAAATTTATGAAGCAAGCAACAAAACAAATCCAGAGATTTCTATGAAATTGAATAAAGTCTTCAGGAAAGTTGTGACATGCTTTCTATTGCCCCTTTTTATGTATATAGAGATTTTCTGAAAGATACTAGTATTTAGAATACATTAATTAATGCATAACCTTCATACAGCTATATCTCAAGCTGGATGAGATTTTACGTCGAGGAAGCAATTACACGCTGCGGCTAAGTTATGAATTCACCCTGAAGGAGGGACTTGAGGGATTTTACCTGTCATCCTACAAAACAGCCAATGGAGAGAAAAGGTAGTTTTCATTAATTACTTTGAATTTGTACAGCATTGTTTTATTATTTTTTGCTTAGGATTGGTGGTTATGTGATAGAGAAGAGTAAGAGCTGTATTAATTTTGTGTAGGGGTGCTTAGTCAGTGAAAGGTAATTATATCCCGTAAAGTGAGAAGATCAGTGTGGTTGATGAATATTTTGTATATTTGATAACAGAACCTTGAAATGTTTCTGTACAAAGTTTATTCCCAGTGCAAATAACACATTGTCTCTATATTCAAACATAGTGAAGAAAATAGGTTTGAAGTAAGTGAGACCTCTCATTACTTTTGCAAATTAATATTTTCTCCCTCAGATTCACCTATTGTATTGATTTTTCCATCATCTCCAGGTATATCGCTACCACCCACTTTGAACCAACTGCAGCACGTGCAGCTTTCCCCTGCTTTGACGAGCCACAGCTGAAAGCCAAGTTCCACCTGAGTATTTACCGAGAACCCCACCAATTTACCCTTTTCAACATGCCGCTACAGACATCAGTCAAAGCAGAGGATTCGGACTTGGTGAGCTTTTATATTTTGTTTGAGGTTTGGATATTTGATTGTAATTATTTTATTATTATTATTATTGTTATTATCATTTTTATTATTATTATTGTTGATATTTGTGTTATTATTATTGTTATTACCATCATTATTTTTTCACATTTTTTAACAAAAAAATATGGGCCTAAACCAATGATTTATATTCAGTTTATCCTTGTGTTGTCTCTTCAGAATATGTATATGTTGTCTAATGTAACATCATAATTTCTAATTTTGTATAGTGTGTTATACTTTCTTTTTCATTTCTAAATAAAGTATTACAGAACATCATTACTTTCCAATATATGTACGTGGCATTATCACTTTCAAACATGAATTGTACATAGAATTATATCCATTTATATGTTCTTTATTATACCTTTATTTTTATCTCCAAATATGCAAGCTTATCATTACTCTTTTGAACATTCCAGATTCTTGACCAGTTTCAAGAGAGCGTGGAAATGAGCACATACCTTGTAGCTTTTGTAGTATGCGATTACGACCACGTGACCAACAAAACAAGCAACAATGTTAGTGTCTCAGTCTACGCTCCTCCTATGATGATAAGCCAAGCCAGTTATGCTCTACGTATGGCCACACAGATCCTCGACTTCTATGAGTCTTTCTTTGGGGTTCCGTATCCCCTCCCCAAGCAAGGTAGCTTTCTGTTTGCAGAACTAAGAATGCACTTGGGTTATCTTTGCTCCTCTTGGCTATGATTTTGAATTTGATATCAAGGTTTGAATGTAAAAGAAGCTATGTTTATTGTTTTGCAGGAATTGAAGATATGTTGATAAATAGCATATTACTTATGAAGTAAAAATGATTAATCTGTATAAAATAAAGATGAGAATAGATATATACGATATAGATGAATATAGATATTTAATTGGCAAACAGTTGTATTGTAAGATGAAGATACATTGAAAATAGTCAAATATTTAGAATATATTAAAGTTGTAAGCATGAATTTAGATAAGGTGTATGAAAGAATAACGGGTTAGATGTATAAAAAAAACAAAATAATAGGATAATTTTAACAAAAATCATTTAAGATTTTGATTGCAATCCCTGACATTTAGGAGCTTAAGGTGCTATGGAGAACTGGGGGCTGATCACTTAACGAAAAAAGAAAAGATAATGATAATGAACACAAAACACGTGAAACAGCAGATGAGATCACTGGAATGGGAATAAAGAGAACTGCCGAATGAAACGGTGAAATCTGGTAACTATGGACGAAAATGGTACGTAGTGCTCAGCAGAAGAATACTGGAAATGAAAAATTGACGCATGACTCGCCCGTATCCAATAGGATTTGTAATCTGATAAAATGGCATGGTAAAAAGTATAATTAGAAAGCAATGTAAATGTTTTGCAACAAGAATAAAAATACGAAATCCAAAGTATGAGGCAGATAGTAATATATATGTATAATTTAATTATCCCCATAAAAAGGTGAGGGTATGTTTCAGTATTGAAATAAATACAAATTTGTGATTAGACTAATCAGTGGTAATGACAGAATATGATGGCAGTAGTTAATTGTATTTTATAATTTCATCAATAGGATATAAAATGTTAATGCAATGAAATACCTGACGATGTTAATAAGAAATAAAGTTTTATGGCTTGCGTATTACCGATTGAGACATAGGATGAAAAGTATTGTCGTAAAGTAAAAACTATTTATTTGTGAAGTTGCATAGATATGAAGGCCAATGCTGTTTAACAGTACACATCTTGGCTATTTGAGAAATAATCTGTAATACATAGATAAGAAAACTATTTTTAAAATATATATTTATATAGGGAATTACCTGTTTAAACTAACATCATCTTCAAGCTATCCTAACCCTTCCTCTGAGTCAAAGTATCCTCTGCAGGTGGAGTGACCTATGGCTTAATGAGGGTTTTGCAAGCTTCATGGAAAACTTGGGAACAGGTGTTGCTGAACCAGGCTGGGCCATGCAGGAGCAATTCATAGTAGAGAAGATGCAGCCAGCCCTTTCCCTAGATGCACTCCTGGCCTCCCACCCAATCTCAACCCCTGTGGATGACCCTGCACAGATTGAATCCATATTTGACACAATTTCATATAAAAAGGTGGGTCTTGCTGCTTGCTTATTATTATTGCCATTGTTATAGCATATTTTTAAATGTTTACTGGTTTTTTATCTTCATGTTTATCTTTACGTGTAGTATCAACAAATTCTGGCATTTATTGTTTGGATGATATATAAGTTGTCATTTTTGTAAGACCTCAGAAAACTTCATAATTATGAATTCTGTTGCATTGTCATTGAGGTATTCGTTTTCCCTTTTGTATTCTGGTTTCTAAATATTTTTTGCTTGCAGGGTGCATCCATTATTGGCATGCTTGAGTCCTTCATTGGGCAGGACATGCTGAAGGCAGGATCTGATATTTACCTTGAGGCCCATAGGTGACGTAATGCAGCAACTGACAATTCTTGTGGGAATAGCCCTGACAGTGATACTCAAGAAATCGCGGCCATGATATCTCGATATGTTAAGGTAGGTTTGCTCCTACTCTCCTATTAATATATGTATCTTGTAATGGCATAAGTTGGAAAATGGCACAGTTTGGTGTGAAACCGTTCTACAAAAGAATTATTCCTGTATTTAGTAAGATATAATAAATTGGAACAACTCATAATGGTTTGATTATTGATTGATGTTATGAGATAGATGGATTGTACATCACATTTCTTTCACTATTCATATGCTTATTACAATATTAACTTGATATTGTTTTGTTTTTCATTATTATTGTTATTGCTTTCATCGTCTCTTTTATTATTATTGTTTCAACTATTATTATCATTGATATTGGTATTATTATTGTTTATTATTATTATCATCATCATCATCATCATCATCATCATCAATAATCATCATCATCAATAATCATCATCATCATCATTTAGTATTGTTTTTTTTTTTTATTATTATTATTTCATTATTTTATTATTATTATTATTATTGCTGTTGCAATTGTCTTTTTTTCATTATCATTATTATTGTTATTATCATTTGTTATATCATTATCATTACAACTATTACTGTAAGCCATTATATATTGGTATCATTGTTACAATCATCTTTGATCTCACAGGGAATCATGGACACGTGGACCCTCCAAGCTGGGTTCCCGCTCATCAGTGTCGGCTTGGAGGATGGACTCGTGACAGCTAGCCAAGCACGATTCCTAGTGTGTGAGGAGAATGTGACTGACCCCAATGAACCCCTCAACTCCACACTGGGATACAAGTGGCATGTTCCCTTAACCTATGTTACCAGTGCCAACCCGAAGAATGAGACAATGCACTGGATGAACTTGACAGATGGTGAGTGTCGTGGGATGAAAATTGTAGGCACAGTATGATTTTGAGATAATTTTGTTTTTGGAGTCAGATGTGTTAAAAATATCTCTGAGATGGGTATAGCAGATGTAACTGCTCTATAATTTGACATATGGGTCAGCATAGTGTTTGGGTAATATTTGTAGTAGGAGTGGCTTCAAATACATTTATTTGTTTATTTATGTATTTGTTATTATTTATTTTTTTAGGTAGCATTTGTTTATTATTATTATCATTTAGTTATTTTTTTTTTCCTTGTATAATCCAAGTTATGTATTTTCTTTAAGTAGAAATAATAATTCAGATATTCATCAACACCTACTCTTTTCATTTGTGCAGTGGAATTTGAAGTGGGCAAGGAGGTCAAATGGATAAAGTTCAATGTTGGACAACGAGGCTTCTATCGGGTCACCTATGATGAGGGGGGTTGGGATGCCCTCATCCATGTGTTGCAGACAGAGCCCCACACACTTTCCCCAGCCGACAGGGCATCACTGCTCGATGATGCCTTCACGCTGGTCAAGTACGTATCAGACCTTTCACTCTCAACCTTCTTTATCCACCCAGACCCACCTAGAGATTCCCTAATATACCTAGGTGTTATACAAGGACAGTGACACCTGTTGTTTTTGTTTAACTCATTTTTTTTAGTAGAAGTGGTGGATAATTTAGACATAAGGTTTTGACTACTAGATAGTGAGCTAAAAAGGTATAAATGGGAATGAATAATTCCACAGTGCAAGAGATGTTTTTGATACATTTTGATTTTATCTGTATCAGAGGCATATGAAGATGCAACTTATCAAAATGTGTAAAACTCATCTTGTGGTTATTCATTCTTATTCATACTTTTCTCTACATTTGGCTCAATGAACTCTTGAGATAGTGAGTTGTAGGTGGGTATTATTAATTGTATATTATATTTACTAAAGGTTAGATAAACAATGTGTATATATAGTATAGTTTGATAGATTTTTTATATAGTGTAGTAAAGTAGTAAGACTTGAAATAGACATTTATGATACTCATTATCTTATTAACGAGATGAAGAATTAACTCTAACTCATCTCTGGTCTTTTATATTAGTATTATCACATATTTATATATTTAGTTGTTTTAAATAGATTGTAAAGTTGCCAGATTTAATAGAAATAAGGAGATTAATCTTTTAAAGATTGTATTTCATATAAATATTTTTCTTCCTTTCTATTTACATAATTAAGAACAAGTCCTATTTGTTTTACATTGTTTATGGTCTAATTTTTTTGCATTTTAAATAGAAGTTTTCAGAAGTACATTGCATTGTGTCTGTAAATAGTATTATCTTTGCCTAGTGCAAGTTCCACAGATGCATCATTAATTAGGGTAACTTTTTAACCGCTGTTTTTACTAGGATTTATTACTCATAATGATACATTTTTCAGAAACCTGCTATTGATACTGATTTAAGGTAGTTTCTATTAAAACCTGGAGTGACATGTTCAGTGTAATTTTTTTGAAACACGGATTTTGAATATTAGAGAAAATAAAATTATATATACATTTTGAATATTTGCAGTGTGTAGAGGATGATGGTATGAAAATGGTTAATGGATTTTATTATTGATTGCTAAGAGTACACACTTTAAATATAGGAGCACATTCTAAATCCACAAAACTCATTGGTGTTTGGCTTTGTCAAAATTATTGTTTTTGCTCTAGTATCCCATTCATGAAGAGATTGTAATTTTGAATAGAGCCTATCACGACATCGAAATATGGAGCTTCTTTTCACCCTTTTGGTTGTGCAAGGTGGCATTAGGAAACCTCTAGTCAACTGAGAACCGCTGTGTTATTTCTGTGTGTATTACAAGTGAACCAGTGTATTGTACCAACCAGTTCAATTTCTGTTGTTTATATCTTTTGTTTTCTTTTTTCTCTTTGGTCTGATTTTGGTATTACTTTGACTTTTCTGATCCCTGTTCCAACACTTCCTCAGCCTCCTCTTTCTCAGTCAGTGTATTTGTATCCTGTTATTGGAATTATGATCCTCTTTATATTCTCTCTTATATATATCTGGTGTTTTAAATGACTCGCACTCAATCCTTTTCATCATCATGTTATTCCTGGTTAATGTTTGTTTATACATTCCTTTCAGTGGGTTTTATGTGCTGTGGTGTATTCCTTAAGAAATTAAGAATCTGGTACCACAACTTCCCTCCATAAAGATTTTAGTCTACCTCTTATTGCTTTTGAACATTTTTTTTACCTACTGTATAGGGCCACTGAATCTTTAGATGATTTTTCCAGTTTGTTCTTTGTCTTACAAACTTAAAATTGTGTTAATCTTTCATACTATTATGATTCCTATTGGCTCTTCACTTGTTCAGATGAATTTATGATCGTATTTTCCATATAACAGTAAATATCCAGGTCTTATGGTATTTTTCCTTCATCGACGACCCCCAACCTGGGCTGACATACTCCTCCCCCTTCTCCTTCCTCCTTCCTCCCTTTGCCCCCATAACTCTTGTATCCCCTCCTCCTTCATCCTACCCTCTTGGCTCTACCGCTTTCTTTCTCTTCATTATGTTCATCCTTCTTCGTCTCGAGTCCTACCTTCTTTCACTCCCTTCTCTTCACTGTATCACTTGCTTTCCCTCTCTCCTCCTTATCCATGTCCCCCACAGCATCCCCCTCCCCCACCAGCCTAGCCCAGGTGTGGTACTGGATTCATAACTTCTGTCGCTCTCGCCCTTAGCGGTCGTCCTTATGACAGCCCCACCCTCGTGCAGTAAGATTTTTTTCCCTTCCTGCAATATTTTTCTTTTCTTTTTCAATTTTAATAAATTTTTGAGTTTTTATATATACCATTTTTGGGTACTTTTTGTACATTTTTCTTTTTTTTTTTGTCTACTTCTTGGTCATCTTTTGATTGATTTGTTATTGATTGATTTCTATATTTTAAGATCCCAGAAGGTCATCCACGAGATTCAGATTGGCCTCTTCTAAGCATTGCTTGCAGATGATAATGACAATTGCAT